AAGAAATAGGTGTGCTTTATCATACTGGAATTGGTTGTACATAAATATTCAAAATATAGTATATTACATAATCAAAAAAGGAAAGATTGGAATCATTTAAGTGGATTAGCAAAAATAAGAAATTATCCATTAACTCTAACTGTTGTTTACTTGAAGCAAAATGCATTTATAAAAGACAAAAAACAACACCAAAACAAAAAAGTTCTTATGATCATCAGGGATTTCCCCAGAGATAAGACGATTGGAAGCCTCATTAGTCTAAGAGTAAGTTAGGTTTTTCTGAATTTGTTCAACAGCTCTTAAAGAAAAGTCCCGGTTTGATTTTCTGAAAGACATAAACCTTAAACATTTAAAGGTATGTTGTAAACACAAATTATGGTAGCAGTTTTTTTTCCTGTGTATCTTTGAACTGTGAAATTGTCGGAAAACCCGCAAAAATCACGATAGATTTTCACTGTCATGTAATAGTAGCTTCATTCAGTAACATCCAATCAGTTATTTAAAACATCATTCTTTGTTTTAGCACAAAAACATCAACGAAGTTTTAAAATTTCATCAACTTTATCAAACATTGTAACAATTATTGCAAGAAGCGGGCTGTCAGCTAACAGAAGTACAAATCAAACACCCTACTTGTAAGTTGGCACAAAATCCTTCTGTTGAGAGATGTTACAAGTCTGTATACATTCTATATGAAATATTAATTTAATTCATTTATAAAAACAATAACTATTGTATTCTTATTTACCGTAGTCAAATTAGGAATGTGCCCATTTGGAAAGTACAGTTGATATATGTACTACACAATGTCTAATAAGCTTGACATAAGAGACCTAATGAATCTAATCTGTACTTGTCAGTTAAATTCAAATGAAACATGGTTTAACACACGTATAACATGTTACTAATAATGTATATAGCAATTGTACTCGCATGTTTACAGACACGTTAGTTCTAGATCAACAAGACAATCCAATACTTCTTCACCACAACGTGCTTCTATTTTGGTATCACAACATTTTACTGTCGGCAAGTAATTATGTTCTCAAAACAAAACATTTCCTGGCACAGTGAACTAATAAACTATCGCACTAAACTTGATTGAAAATAAAACAGAATAATAAGGTAACGGAATAATTTGCTGGGGAAAAAACCGCTATCACTATATAGGAAATACGTGCACTGTTATTTATGTTTGCAAGGGTATAAATTTTACGACGTAATTTTCGTGTTAAAGGTTTCTTGATATGATAATGGTTGGTTTTATAGTATTCCGATAATATAATTTCTATACATGCAGAAAACCTTAAAATGAAATAATTAATTGCTGCTTCCCTTTGCCGGCAGTAAAATACACCAGCAGTCATTACTTGTTTGTTTGTTTTGAATTTCGCGCAAAGATGCACGAGGGCTATCTGCG